TATGGAGACCCCTTTAGTTAGTATCTGACTTTAAATAATACAGTCTTGGCATGAGTAATTACAGGTCTTTGTCTTTATCCTAAGATCTAACCATCTCCTTTTTTTTTTATTATTATTTTTTTGGTACCAGGAATCAAATTCAGACCTTGCGCTTGCCAGGCAGGTGCTGTGCTGCTGAGCTATATCCCCAACTGTCTCCGTTAATTTTGGAGGGAAGGGTGCAGTGCGGTTGACCCTGCACCCAGGCCTGTGGGAATGAGCACAAGGCAAGCCAGATACTGGAGAAAACCAATTAATGGCAGCGATCATGCCACCCTGGCAACAGCAACAAAAATATCATGGAAGAAAACTGGATATTGATATGCCACAACAAACAAAATGTACCATTCTTAACCGCAGAAAAGATCTAGATTTATAGTATAAACGCTAAGTTAAACGAAATAGAGACATGCAGTAAATGTCTACTAAATACAACTATGCCACCACTAACAGAGAATTCAACAGCAAGAGCACAGAGTTAACTATCTAACGATTAAAAAAGCTTAATTGTCACACTAGTAAAGACAGAAGGGGTGGGAACAGAAGGATGAAAAAAAGTAAAATTTCAAAAATTAAGCAATGGAAGAAGGGAAAGAGGAGAGAAAAATGAGATAGAGGATCTGTGAAGGAGTAAAAGGAAATCAATAGAACTAGATAAAATAACAGAAAAGAATAAAAAGAAAAACAGAGCAAAAAAGAAAAAATAAGGACAATAAGAATGACAAAAGGTAAATAAAACCCAAACTCCAAAGAACCAATGAAGAAAAGAAATTAACCCCAAAAAAACTTCTGTGTTTTTGAATGAGTGATTTATTTCCGGGCTCTGGGTCTTGCAGTCCAGGAAGGCCCAGTTGTCTCTGCCTAGCTTCATGGCCTGAGGATCTGCGATGCGGCCCCTAACCCCACTCTAGAGGCCCCTCTGTCTGTGCGCCCCGGGCTGGAGCAGCCATCCTAGCCGAGGGGGTCCCTGTCCACACTGCTACATAGGGAGAGCAATCAGACCCCTGATCTCCATGCTGGATTTAATACCAGCATTTTCAGGTCCAGCTACCTTTGAAAGCCGCACACCCTGGGCCTGGCATCTCACCGTGGAGGGTGGGGCCCCGTGTCCTTCCCAGCCTGAACTTAAACTCCTCAGAGAACACCGTCTAGTCCGCACCCTCTCTACAACTCCCTTCTGTGGCTGTCTTTCACTCAGTCACTGTGGAAGAGTCACGCTGGAAACCCTGAAGTTGTTTTGGTTTTTGTTCTATTGCTCAGCCTTAGACAATTAACCCCTTCCCAAAATGGCTACCATCTTAGTTATTTTTCTTGTTGCTGAGACAAAACATCCAACACCCAAAGTGAGAGGAGGCGAGGTTTAGTTTGGCCCGCAGTTAGTAGAGGCCTCAGCTCATTGGCTGGCTGTAGGGCAGGGTGGCATGGCAGAGGGCCATCGAAGAGGAGAGGCAGGTCCTGGCAGGCAGAAGACACCAAAACCAAGCAAGCAGTAAGCAGGGACCCTCTTTCTGTCTCTTATATCTCATCCTGACATCTTCTGTCCCTTATCCTCTAAGACTTTCCTTTTCCCTAAATCTTTACAAGTCAGTAGATACCATGCTGTTAGCCACTAAGAGCAGATAGCACTCACATCCTTCATCCCAGCATCCTTCATCCCAGCATCCTTCATCCCAGCATCCTTCATCCCAGCATTGCATCATGAATCAATCCCAGCACCACACACACTAGATCCATCCCCACTGTAAACGCAAGCTGTAACATGATTTTTATTCAAACAACAGGTAAACTACCTTCAAATAAGCAGGTAAACTGTTCTCTTCTTGCAGGTGAAGAGAGCTACAGACACCTATCATTTAGGAATTGCCCTTGAACACCAGAAAGGAATGCTCAATCTCTGGCAGAAGATCCGAGGGGATTTGATTGGAATAGACACTAAAAATGAGTCTTTCTATGACACCTTTTCTACTTATACCTGGTCCTGGAACGTTTGCCAAGAATTGCTCTCTCCGAAGGACTTACGGTTGTTTAATGCTTACGTGAACAGAAATTCCTACCCCACCTATGGCTTCTCTTCCTCATCAGATAACAGTGAATGTGACTCCGAGACCGAAAGGAAAAGAAAACGGAAAAATTGCAAAGGGTTTCGACAATGAAATTTCTACATTTTCTAAACAGCTCATCGAAAACTACTTTTTCATAAGTATCAAAATTATGGTTTCTTGCTTTTCTCTAGTACATTCTTAGCAGCTGGAAATGTTGACATCTTTTGGATTCCAGCCAGTAAAACAGCTTAACTCATAAAATGGTTTCGTTTTCCTAAATCTTGACAAGTCGGCAGACGTCATGCGGTTAGTTCCAGCTGTATTCTGCTGCCCCCGCCTGGCATAAAAGTGACAGGCCTCAGCAGGAAAGGGAGAAATCACGCCCTCTGAGACCCTAAGGGATAAACAGTTGAGCTTTGGGTGACTGTAAGTGAAATTCAGTTTTCAAATGCTGTGAAATAAGCCAGAGGCAGCAGATGACTATAAACTTGCCATTTCGGGGGGTGATATCACCAACCCCGCCCCAGGAACCTTGTTTAAATGTGGGCGTATTCCTGAGGCTCCACAGCCATACACCTCCACACCTATTGCATGGATTTCTCTTACAAATAGTCGATCTCATCCATTAAATGTTGTTATTCTTTAATGAATCTAATATATATATATATGATATAAATATATCATATATATGGCAAGTTTGTGCTAGGATTGTAATTTTTACTATGGTAAAATTTACATGACATAAAATTTACTATTTTTTAAATTTTTATTATAATTTACTATTGATTAATGTTAAAGTATACATCAATCATTGCATTTTTATTCTTCCTAGTCCCACTCCTGGGATTCATAGGGCATTTTTCCATGGGTCTTGAGGGTTGATCACACAGAAACAGACAACTTTTGGACTTTACCAAATTTTTTAATTGTTTAATTTAATTAGTATAATTTAGATATCTACAGTGACCCCATTCATCATAGGGAATTTGCACCTGTACATAATATACCTTGATTTGTCTTTTTCCCCTCCCTTCAACCCCTTGTCCCCTCCTTATTTACAAAGCTTTGTTTCCATTTTATCCTCCTTTTCTCAGATTTTCTTCCCCCTTTCCCCTTCCCCAGTTCCCTTCCCTTTTGGGCAGCTGCTTCCCATTTCACCAGATCTCTTGTACAATTTAGTTCTTATTTACACTTTTGGTTTCTCACACCAGTGAGGCAATGCAATATTTACACACGTGTATACAATTTATTTCACTTAAGAGCACAGTCTCAGGGCCCATCCATTTAGCAATAAATGTCACAAGTTTATCCTTCATTATGGCAGAGTAGTAGTCCATTTTATTTTAAAAAAAAAAACATCTTTTTTATCCATTCCTCAGTTGACGGGCATCTGAGTTGTTTCCAAGATTTAGCTATTACAAATTGTGCTGCTATAAACATGGGTGTGCTTGTATCATTGTGGTATGATGCTTTTAATTCTTTTGGGAAAATACCCAGAAGAAGAATAGCTGGTGAAATGGGGCCTCTAGTCTTAGTTTTTGAGGAATCTCCACACTGATTTCCACAGTGGCTGCAGAAGTCTACACCCCAACAAAGTAGAGAAGGGTTCCCTTTTCCCCACAGCCCAGCCAGCATTTGTTGTGGGTTGATTTCATAATAGTCGTTCTTTCTGGAGTGAGATGGAATCTCAGGGTTGTTTTAATTTGCAGCTCTTGAATGATCAATGATCCCACACTAAATCTTATATTAACCTTCTGATCTACTATCAGAAAGTCAAATATGTGTTATTTCCTCTGCTAGTTTTGATCTTAAAAATGTAAGGAATTACATCAACTGTGGTTCTGGGGGGGAGTTTTAGGGGGGTACCAGGAACCGAACTCAGGACCTCACTCTTGCCAGGCAGGAGCTGAACATCAACTATTTGTAACAATTATCCAAGCGACTAGTTTGCAGGTGTGTGGGTAAGGCCATTCCAATTACCATCTAGAATAAATATTTTTAAATCATTATTCTAGAAAAACATGATGCACGAAAAAGAAAAGGAACCAGGTGTGGTGGCACATGCCTGAAATCCAAGCTCCTGGCAGACTGAGGCAGAAGGATCACCATGAGTTTGGGACCGGCATGGGCTCCATAGTGAGCTCAAGGCCAGCCTGCACTGCATAAAGCAAGATTCTGTCTCAAAAAATCAAAAAAAAAAAAAAAATCAAGAAGATATTGATAATGACAGATTACAACACAAAAGTATAAAATTCCAGGAAAAAGCAATGAAGTTAACGCCCCCAAAACTCTTCACTGAAATAGGTTTCATGTGACTTTGTGCTACCCCGAACCCTCAGAAGTGTCTAACTACACCTGCGAGCCGAGCACAGTGCCACGTCTGTAGCCCCAGCTACTCGGAAGGCTGTGGCAGGGTAACGCGAGCCCAGCATGAGCAAAACACAAAAACTACATCTCCAAAACTAAATACACACACACACACACACACACACACACACACACACACACGCAACACCAACTTCTGTGTAAAGTTCTAATTCTTGGGAAAAGAACTAACCTTATAGAGAAGTAACCACATCTTTTGACCAAAAAAGTTAATGGTTTGACAAGAGACTTTCTTGAGTTGCTGTGGGTATGACAGAATCCAGGACCTATAATTTGGATGCCAAAATATTAGAATTACTGGACTATTTCCTTAGATCGATGAATGACAGGACAAAACACTGGGGTTTTTTGCAATGTTTTATTGTGTTTTGTTTTATTTTGTTTTTTGAGATAGGGTCTTGCTGTGTAGTTGAAGCTGGCCTTGAGCTCACTGTGTAATCCAAGCTGGCCTCAAACTCATGGCAATCCTTCTGCCTCAGCCTTCCAAGTGCTAGGATTACAAGCATGTAATAGTGTTAAGTAGATCTGTCCTAGAAAATTAAAACTTATACCAACTCTTACTATTACAATGTCACACACTGCAAATGACAGTATAAACTGGCACCTCTGATGGAATACAGTGTAGGAACAGGGCCTGGCATGGTGGCACACCCCTGTAATCCTAGCATTCTGGGAAGCTGAGGCAG